TCCCCCGCATCGGCAGGCGGACTCTCAACCACTGCGCCACCAGGGAAGCCCTATATATATTTTTATGTTTCCATCAGGTTTGCGTGTGAACCTTAAACTACATGATTATTTTACACGATTACGTACGTACGTACGATTTTGTAGCGAACACTCTTCTCAGTTTCTCTTTCCTTTTTACTCACAGAAGAGAAAGCGTTTCTACTTTCCAATTCCCAAATGATATTTCCACATAGTATTAACTTATCTAAAGGAAATACATATTCCTTCTATGCTTATTGCTGTTAGAAGCTTAATAATTGACTCAGAAAGTGCGTGGTTTAACGGGAAAGGTGTGACCTCTGGGGGTCGTTAGACTGGGGTTCCAATCCCAACCCTGTTGCTTGTCACCTGAGAAGCCCCAGGAGGTCATTCATCCTCTAAGAAGTTGGGTTTCCTCGTCTGGAAAATGGGGATAATGCCTACTTTGCAAGGGTTGGCATGAAGCTCAAAGTAAATGACGGTGGTAGTATTTTATCCATTGTAAAGCTGATGTATAATATCCTCTCTGATGAACTGCGGTGAAGAGGAGGCAGAGTGGTATAATGGAAAGAGCTGAGAATCTGAAGATGGAGGGGAAGGAAGGCAACATTGCTGTGCTCGCCTCCCCTTCACGTAAATTGTATCATTTTCCTACAATAACCCTGCCAGGTGGATGTTAATATTCCCATTTTGCAGTCTGTTCTTCTCACTATACCTCTTAGATTTAAGTTCAAGCTTCCATTATACCAATTACTATGTAGCCTTGGGGACCACATTTATTCTAAGTCTCAGGGTTTGTTTTTTTTCATTAATTGATTGATTAATTAATTAATTTGGCTGTGTCGGGACTTAATTGCTGCATGTGGGATATTTAGTTGTGGCATTTGGATTCTTAGTTGCGGCATGCTGACTCTTAGTTGTGGCATGCGGGATCTAGTTCCCCTACCAAGGATCGAACCCGGGCCCCCTGCCTTGGGAGTGCGGAATCCTACCCACTGGACCACCAGGGA